TGGTCTCTGCATCAGTTCCTCCCTCCCAGGTTCCTGCCCTGCTTGAGTTCCTGTCCTGACTTCCTTCAATGATGAATATCTCTATGGAAGTGTGAGCCAAGTAAACCCTTTCCTCCCTAAGTCGCTTTGGTCATGGCGTTTCATCACAGCGGTAGAAACCCTAACCAAGACATCTGCTGATCAGATCCACTGAAGACCCTGATCCATTGGTCCTCAGTGCTTGATGTAATCTCATGAACAATAGTAAGACCTCAGCTAGCCTGGGGCATCAAGGGTGTTTGTTAGCCATGGCAGAGGCTGAATTCATGTGATGGAGGACAGGGCGATGTGAGGGAGCTGTTGAGCAAGGATGGGGCCAGCAGCAGCGGTGTGGGGGGGGGGGTGTGCAAATTGTAGTGTGCTCTTAAGAGACCCTCAGGATGCTTCCAGAGCTCATGGTGTGTGTCTGAGTTGTCTCTCAGTTAAGGGCTGTAAAATTGGTTCCTGAGAGGTGATTAATGTTCTCAGACATTTTATGATATTTTCCTAAGGAATAGGTGAGTGACAGTCCAGTGGCTAACTCCAGTCATAGGTTTTACCTGGTCCCATGCAGGTGGCTGTGACCGGCTGAGCCGTCAGTCTTTTAGGTGGGGAGCGGGAAGTTGTACACAAAGAGGCAAATTGCTGTTGAGAGGGGTGCCTCAGGTCTCCTTGAGGAAGCTGAGTCCTGGGGTGACTCAGGCTGCATCAAGAATAGGTAAGACCATTGCTGTGCAGCCTGGAACCTGGCAAAGGACACCATGTGGGCACCTGTGGCTGCTCACGGTGGTACCCAGGTGAGCGGGTGCAGCTTCACTTCTGTATAGCAAGTGGTGTTGAGCGCACAAGGTCATCTGGTTGTGTAGGATTGTTATCCCAGCTCCTCAAGAGGCTGAGGCAGGAGGCTTATGTTCAAGGCTCACCTGAGCAGCTAGGACCCTGTCTTAGAGTAAAACCTGCTAGGTGAACACCTGTGATGAAATGTGATCCCAGTTTCATAGATTCGCTGTTGTCAGCATTAACAGTATGCACCACAACTGTTTTGTTATTCCATAGTCATTGAGAATACCTTCTGTAGAGTATACTTAAACCCTCCTTATTAAAAAAAGTGTTTTATGTGCATGTATGCACACACCTGAGTGTATGTATATGTATTATGTGCATGTGTAACATGGGAATGTAGAACAGGGCATCAGATCTTTTGGAACTGAAGTTAGAATTGGCTATGAGCCATCCATCATATGGGTACTGGGGACAGAATTCTCGCCCTCTGTAAGTGCCATTATGAGCCGTCTCAGCTCCTAAACTCTAGTTTTCAAAACAACCCTTTTCACCCAAATAAGCAGAGTAGAGTTGCATTAAGGAAATAGTGGTAGTTGGTTTCTAGCATGTTGTGGCGTTTGCTTGCTTTCTTTACTTGGTATTGTTTTATTTTTCATAAGAATTGCAGACCTTAGTGGCAGCGTGTGAAGGGCCCTGATGAGATTAGAGATTTAGTGATTGAGTTGGAGGTTCTCACCCATACAAAGCAGCGAGGGTCCTGGAGCTCATTTCTGGTGGCGGCTCTCAGGTCTGCCTCCGACAAGGTTCCCTCGAGGGTTTGTGGTGAAATGAGCTATGGTTTGAACCAGCAGGTGGATTCAGGGTGTCCGTCCGAGCCCTTTTCCGTCCAGGATGGATTGAAATGGCACAGAAGAGACAGAGTGTCTCTTCTGAAATGTTTGGGACACTGGGTGTAAAGGATTTCGGGTATTCTAGGAGTTGGGATTTCTGTTTATAACTAATGGAGGTATCCTGGATGAGAGGACTCGAGTCAAAACACACAGTGTGAGTGTTGCACACAGCCTGGCTGCGGTTTCAGTGTTGAGTGCCCCTGTAGTTTTATTCCGGCATGAAGGCAGGTGTGACACTTTCTACCTGTAGAGGTTTTTTTTCCAGTGCTCTAATAGTTTCAGGCTTTGGAGCATGTGAGGGCTTCAGGTTAAGGGTACTCAGTCTGAATCTGCCTGAAATGGTAATTTATGATTTCTATTTCAGGCAGACTGTCTGAGGCAAACTGGAGATCTTTAAAATCACCACCTGCACCGCCCTACACACCTCCCCCCCCCCCCCGCGCCCCACTCTCTCGTCCTCCCCACTCCGTCCTCCCCACTCGTTCCTCCCTCTCTGCTCCACTCCCCTTCATCTTAAATCTCATCACATCCCTGTGGGGGTGTGTAAGCCATTCCTGCGCTGAGCCATGTTTTTTTTCTGCTTCCTTCGCTGGGAAACTCCGTGCCCTGCTTCAGATCTGCCTGTCACCTGAGAGGTGGCAGAAGGGCTGCTGACTCTGTTCTCTCCTTGGAGAACAATGACAGCTGTGAATCCCTGGCAGAGTCAGGGCTTGGGGTAGCTCAGTAGCTTCCAAGTGGTAGTGCAACCTGGGGACCTTGTCCTGGTCAGGACAGTTTTATCCTCCAGTCTTCCTTAAGGCATGGCTCTGGAGGACACCGACCCCGCAGCAGAGCCTTTGTTCTAAGTTCACTGTGTCGTCTTTTAACGGAAACGCCTTGCTGGCTATTGACAGCAGTTGAACATCTGTCTAAATATGACTTCCTGCCACCAGCCATTGCCTCTCGGGTTAACATTCCCTGACAGATGATACGGGTTGGGCCAGAAGCTTTTCAGGGTTAGATTCCATTCTTTATTGTTTTAATTTACCTGGGGGCAGAAGCAGTAATACTCTTTTCAGAGGAAAACAAAAGAAAAGAAAAACTAAAGGAGTCATTTTCAGCTAATACAATGCCTGCAGTTGAAAAACATGTCTGAGGATATATTCAGAAACACCTTTATGCAAATGGATTAAAGGGTTTAAGACTTAAGTGCCCTTAACTCGCAGACAGACCTAATGTGGCCAGTCTATTTCAAGGCACAGGGACATCTTAACAGTGGGTTTCATACCTGCACCCCATACATGCCCAGAATGGCAGTATTTGGTGAAGGCAGCCCTTGCTTGTTTTTCAGAGTCTGCCGCTCAGAAACTCTGCCTGGGCTCTGGCCATTCGTGTAATTTGAATGACTGCATGGACTTGTAAAACCTGAGTTTTCAAGAATGAGCTAAGAATAGATTTATCCCTGTAAGCATCCTCTCACATCTGCTTTCTGTTATTTTTTTCTGAGTCCCTGCAAGGGTGACCAGCTTGTTTGTGGGGAGGGAGGATGCAGCAGCTGTTTCGGTCAACACTTCCCGTGGTGGAAGATGACCTCAGATTGAGAAGGTGCCTTTAGACAGTATGCACTTCTAAGCAGCAGAAACCCCTGCCAGATGTGAGCGTGTGTCTCTTTGGGGGTGATCTGGTCCTGGGTCTCCAAGTTGCCCACTGTCCCCTCCTGAGGGAAAGTGGCTGGCCTAATTTTTCTTGGAGTTAGTTTTTTGATTCTCCAAATGCCAAACATGTCTCTCCGCAGACTGAGGGCAGAGTCTGTAGGCAGCCTTCCTGGCGTGTCCTGGGTTCACTGAGGGATGGGGCCAAGGGCTGGGTGTGGTTCTGGAGCTCTGTTGATTTCCAGGTGCATTGCCCTCCTTTGTTCAGTGAGTTGTTGTGTTCCTTATAAAAATGGAGGTGAAATGGGCCGGGCCCCAAGGCTCATGCCGAACATACCGTTCCGTGAAAGATGTTAAAACTCTGCGTACTTCATTATTACCGTCAGCTCTGCCGGGTTCTGCAGCAGAGGGCTGACTCTCGCTGTAGATTAGATGCCCCCACCCTGTTAGTATCCAGGCACACCTTGGCCCTGCCCCTTGGGAACCTGCCTCACGCCTGCAGGCCTGGCAGACAGTACCCTGTCCCTTAAGAGGCAAGCCCCGCCTACTCCTACTCTTACTTTCCTCCATTTCTCTGAGGAGGCAGCTTCCTGTCTCTGTCTCTCCTTTCTCCCCAGCCACCATCTCTCCTCTTTTCTCATTCCCCATTCCCTATATCTCAATAAACTATACCCAAACTCTGTCTGTATGCATATTGGTCTTTCACCCACCATGGGTCCTGCTTAGGTCCCTCTCGGGCCATAATCATAACACACCCACCCATGAGAGAGCTGGAAATCACGACCGGTTATCAGCGAGAACTCTGGCCTCCCCTGTGACCCCTGGGTTTCTTTCATTTCCTTTTGATTTTAAAGGTTGGTTTTTATATTCAAACTATGTAAATTTTTTCACATTTAACACCGTAGCATTAACTTTTAATTGCATATATAAGAGGTCCCGCCCTAGTCCCTCCACCCCCCCACATACACACCCCGGGTTCCTTAGCGAGACGTAGGAGGTGTGATGATTTCATTATACAAAGGAAACTTGATGTTGCTGATTTTTGCCAACACCGGCTTACGTGCACCTTGGGAAATAGCATAATTCCGAATAATTTGTGAAGTGTATTTTCGGATTGTGACATCTCTTTCTACAGACATGATGCAAATCTGAGTAGGTTACGGTTAATTTAATTGGCTGGCAGTGTGAAGTTTCTACATGGAAAATTCCTTGGGCCGGTGAGATGGCTGAGCAGGCAGAGGCACTGGTCACAGAAGCCCGACAACGTCAGTTCAAACCCAAATCTTAAGGCAGAAGAAGAGAGCTTACCTTCTCTTCATTGGCACGCATGTGCCTGAAGTCCTTAGTCTTTCTGTCCATGATGTATAACTTAAAAGGGGCTGCAGTACGTGTTCTAAGGCATCCCTCTCTGATCCCTGGATTCCCAATTCCTCCCTGCAGAGATATCCACTGAACTCTTAGAACAGATAACAGGGTTTGATTATGGTTTATGTATTTACTGTTTGGACGACGCCCTGTGTTTACAAAGAATCAGCTACGAGTTGTGCACATGTGAACATGAGTAGGCACCATTTTGCTCGTGAGCAGCTTCTTGGTGCAGTTTTTGGAAACCCGGATTTGCAAGGCATTGATGGCGTTTGAGTTGCTCAGTGTCCGCACCCGTGTTCTTGTCTTCCAGCTGCAGCATGAGAAGGCGGAGCTGGAGCAGCATCTGGAGCAGGAGCAGGAGTTTCAGGTCAACAAGCTGATGAAGAAGATTAAAAAGCTGGAGAATGACACCATCTCCAAGCAACTCACTTTAGAGCAGGTGAGCCCTGGCTTTCTCTCTGTCGGGGGGTGGGGGGGTGGGGGAGGCACAGAGGAGTCGGAAGGAGGGACTCATTTCAGCTCTTAATGCCTCCCTCCCTGTTCGTCTCCTCATGTGCTCTCTCGCTTCAACCACAGTTAGTGTGCTTCAGGTGCTGGGCCATGAGCTCCTGTTTCATGGCGGAAACGTCAGCTCCCTTTGCTGTGAAGCAGAGGGGAAAGGTTCTAAGGCCAGGATGGTTTCTGTGTCAGTCCTCTGGCATGCTTGTGGGGACCAAAGCCGCGGTCAAGAGTCGTTCAGTAGGAACGATGGACACCTTCCCACATTCCTAGCACCCGTGTAGGAGCGGCCTCCACTCAGTTAGCCTTGTAGAGACTGGTAAAGGAGTGGTAGGGTGACCCTGATGAACTGTGCCCACGTCTCTGACCCCAGGTCTCCATTAGCAAACAAAACAGGTGAACGCTGAAACTGGGGAGCAGCAGACTGGGGGAGGTACAGAAGGCGGCTAGTGTCACTGGACCCCTCCGCTTGTCTGACAGGCTGCTGTGGGTGTCCGTTCCAGAGCTAGCCTTAGAAGTACACGCTGGTCCTTCTACTCATGTCGTGCACAGCTGTGGCAGCCCGTCATCCTTCCATTCAGGCAGCTGTGTCCCCGGCATTGTGACCTTTGATGCCTTTTCTCACTTAGTGGCCTGAGGTGACATTTCCCTAAGGCACGTTATAAAAAGCCTTCCACGGTGTGTGGCTCTGGGCTTCCACGCAGAGCTGAGCAAGTGGGTTAAGACATCCCAGCTCCATCTTGCAGAGGGTGAAAACCATAGGATGATCTGGCTACGTTTGTGCTAGTGTTGTGATCTCTCTCCGTCTGTATCTTTTCTCTTTGTCCATCCCTGTGCTGGCCCGTTTGTCCGTCACTCTATAGGTCTGGGTGTTCACAGTTTGCCTGAGTTGAATCCAGGATGGGAATGAGAGGTGTTTTTCAGCCAACAGTGACTTATTTTCTTGTTATCCACATAGTTCCCTACACAAAGGTATCAAAGGAGGGGACCGACCAATTATGCCTGAGTTTTGTGGGACTGAATGATTTAAAAATGTCCTCATCCCTTCCTTGTTAAATTTTGTTCCGAAATGCTGGTTGTTTCATACGTATATCTAGAGTTCTCTGTTTCTATTAATCAGCTTTGTAAGGAAGATGCAATATGTAAGTTTTAGAAGGTGCATTTCCCCAGTTTTAAAACGCTTTGTTCCAGTGTGTACCTGCCGCATTGCCATGATAGACAAACGGCTCTGCAGGATAAACCTTTGAGGGTTTGTGTCTTATTCCACAGCACAGGTCCCAGGCGTCTAACCATTTATCTGAGGGACACTCAGGAGGCTCAGTAAGAGTCTCACAGTATCGGTATTGTGCACACTGCGCTGGGACATGATGATGTCCGTGGCCCGTATTTTAAGCAGCCTTCTGCTTGGTGTGTGCTCATAAGCGGTGACCCTCTCCCCAGGTGTCAGTTGTGGCCACAAGGTGGAGAAAGGAAGCTAGCATCAGCAGTAGAGGGCTGTAATCTCTCACAGGCCTTGGGGAGATGGGGAAAGGGGTGTCGCATGACAAAACTTCTCCCAGGAGACACAATGTCTGTTCACCCAGATAGGGAACTCACAGCAGGCGAGATATGGACGCCACCAAAGGCCAGCTTCGGTGAGCCAGTGAGTTTTATTGAGGTTGCTTGCAGGAATACGGGTGAGGGGTTACAGGGGCAGAAATGACTCAAAGACAGCCTATCACCAAGCACTGGGGACAGCTGACAAAATAGCCGGGAGCACACCTTGGTCCAGACCCCTCCCAGGCAGGTCAGAGGGTTGCTGCTACTGCTTCTAGGGAGCTTAGCTGGTCTGGTCTCAAGTCTTGCTTGTAGCTTGGCTTCCTTGAGTCTGAGGGGGGTACTGTCTCTTTTTGTTGTTGTTGTTGACTCTGGCAGAGAAGGGCCTAGAGAATCTGGTCAGTTTCAGGGACTTTCTGAAGCTGTTTTGAGTTGTTTACCTTCTAGCTTAAGGAGTTTGCTACAGGATGGAATGCTTCAATCTTAGAGGAAACTTACAAAAAAGGGCTGTGAAGACTGGAGCCCGGATGGTCTCTCCCGGTGTCTTTCAGGCTTTGCACTCTTCACAGGCTTAAGTAACAGCTCAGTGCACACTGTCTATGAGCTTGCATCTTACTAGGAACAGACCCAGCAGAGTGTGTCTTGCAGGGAATCAGAGACGAGGCATGTCAAGATTATATTTTAATTAAAGCAGAGAGTTGTTACATTGTCTAAAATGTCTTTGGCATTTGCGTGGGTGGGTCTGGGCGGCTAAGTGTGAAGAACTCTGCTGCATCCTTTTGCACCGCAGGTAATTGTAACCAGTGTTTGAGAGGGATGTTCTGGTTTCTTCAGAGCCTCCGCAGCACCCCCGAGCGGCTCGTGGTTAGCTCTGTGGTTGTCATCTGTGTATCTGTGTGTGGTGCTGTGCCATCCCTTGCTGTCAGCATGGCTTTGCGCCGTGTGTGCTGTTGATGTGCTATGCATGGCTGTCACCGTCAGCAGCGGGCACCTTTGTTCTTTCTAACGATCCACCGCTGTTGAAGCCATAACTGCTGGGGGCGGGGGAGTGCTCTGTCTTACGGCCCCACAGACACATCATGGTTAGGCGTGAGTGTTGTTGCTTTGAACGCGAGAGAGCCAGCCGTCCTTGTTAGAAGACAGCGCTGGGTGCGGGGAGTCAGGACCTGCTATGAATGTGAAAGGAACCAGGTGTGGCTCTGGTTCCTCTGTTCAGGGTTTGCTTTTTTTCTTCTTCTTCTATGTTTTAAGACAGGATCTCACATAGCCCAGGATGGCTTCAGAATCACTGTTGTGACTGAGGGTGACTTTGAACTCACGGCTTCCTGCATGCTAAATGGGCATTCAGCAACTAGCCCAAGCTGCTGCCCTGCCCCTTCCCCCTTTAGACCCCGTTCTATTGAGATGTAATGCACGGATCGCCATTTCATGTAGTATATTTACAGTTGTGCCGGCATCATCAGTCGGCTTCAGAGCAGTCCCATGGACTCCAACAGAAGCCTCACACCCTCCACCTGGCTGTCCCGCTCCCCTTAAGCCTGCTGTAGATGGATCTGCCTATTCTAGGTGTTTTTTCCCACTAACATCATACGGTACGTGGGTTCTTGAAACAGAAACCCTTCATTTAGCATAGCGGTCCATGTCTGTCTGAACACTTCTATCTTTTTTCTAGCCAAATAATTTCCCACTGTATGTGGTGTACCGCATCTTACCCATCCACTCATCGTCTAGTACGTGTTTGGGTGAACTTTTCCAGTGCTTTACAAAGATGTGTGTACAGTTTTTTGTCTTTGTTTTTTTTTTTACTGTGTGAACAGCAAGAAAACCCTACTTGCCTGGCCTTAAACCTACCTTGAAATGAAAATTGCTAGGTCACATGATCATTATTAAAATTGTATAAAACATAATTTTAGCATAGCTCACACTTGGTGGATGAACCTGAGGAAGGGCTCTTGGAAGCCGTTCTGCCGGAACTTTGCATTGGCCGTGCTGCGTTCATTTGAAGGTGCAGCTTGGGCTGTCATGGTTTTTAAGAGGCGCATCCCTGTTCTTCATAAAGCAGGGCTTACCTGGCCACGAACTGTGTTCTCGGGCTCCCCCCTCTGGAGGCCATGCTTAACTTCGCTTCTACAAGGCCTTTGCTCTCAGCTGATGGCGTGAAAGTCGGGGCCTCCTTGTGAGAGGTTAATGAGTAGTGCTTGGTCTTCTCTTCAGTGCAGAGCCGGGCTTCCTTGATTATTAAGGCAAGAACAATAGCATCCTGATGAGTATGGTCCCTGGGCCACCAGAGCTACTGCTGGTGCTTGTGTTGCAGCGTGTGAGTTTGTAGTTGAAAGGCTGTGTTGCTGGGAAGGTAAATGTTGTCCTCACACCCTATGGGGACCCGAGACAATGAGGATCATTTTGGGGGCATCAGCTCTGCTTCCAGAAGTTGTCACTGTATCCTCTTGTTCCTGATATACCTCCTCCAGAACATTCTGCAGAGGAGGAGGGTCTTGGGACTCGCTCCTCAGGAACAGATGAGTTTGGCCTGTCAGTGGCCCAGCCCACATGGGCTCCCTTCTCAGAGATGGAATCAGAAGGGTGGGCTGGGGACCAAGCTTTCTCCTGTTACCGCAGGTCACACATGATATGCGAGGGGAGCATCCCCAGTCTGGTGTTCTAGACAAGGGAATACATTGTTTGTCCCCCAGGGAACTCAACTTCTATCTGTTTAGACAGCCCACAGCATTCATAACCGTCCAGTTTGGGGTTTATTTCACATTCTAAATGCTCAGTGCCAAAGAGAATTGATAAGCAGGTGTATGGGAACATGCTGAAGTAATGGAAACCTGCTAGGCCTTTACTGACCACAGTACTGAAGTGGACTAGTCCGACCACCATGCCGTTAGAGCTGACACCAAACACTGTCCTTTGCCCGCGAGTCCTCTGTCTTTATCCGACAGCGACAGCTTGGTCACTGTAAGTCTCTTGCTTGCTATTCACATTGCTCAGGTGACAGTAGCCACACTTGGAAGTTGTGTTTCGTTTTGTTTTTCTGTGTCTAAGACTCTTGATCCCAAAGTGTTTACGGTCCGCTGGGTAAGACTGTCCTCACCTGTCTACCAGGCAAGTCACGCGGTGGCTTATTAGTGAAGCCCGACTCCCCAGTTCCCAGGGCCTTCTCTGCGCTTGGCTCAGGGAACTGTCTCGTGAGAAATGTCGTGCCTTGGATGTGGCCAAGCCGTGCTACGATGTGGTGCAGCTGGCATGGCCTGGAACCCCAGAGACAGGGAGCTGGTGTGAAGGAACTAGGTCACTGGGGGTACCGCCTTCAGAGTGCTGTGGTTCTGGTGCTGGAGAGAGACAGCTGTCAAAGAGCAAGGCGAATTCCAGTCCTCAGTGTCTGGTTTCCTATCTCTCTGT